CGGCTCGGGCGCAGGGCGGCTCGGCTCCCGGGCGGCTCGGCGGCTGGGCAGCTAGGGTGCAGGGCGGCTCGGCTCCCGGGCGGCTCGGCGGCTGGGCGGCTCGGGTGCAGGGCGGCTCGGCTCCCGGGCGGCTCGGCGGCAGGGCGGCTCGGGTCCCTGGCGGCTCGGCTGTTGGGGCGGCTCGGCCGGGAGATGCAGCGTCGGGCCGGCAGGTGCAGCGTCGGGCCGGCAGGTGCAGCGGCGGGCCGGCAGGTGCAAGTGGCGGGCCGTAGGAGCAGCGACGGGCCGGCAGGGTGCAGCGGCGGGCCGTAGAGTGCAGCGGCGGGGCCGTCGGCAGTAGAGGCGGAGCCGCGTCAGAGGAGGCGGCTTGGCCGCGTCAGGGGAGGCGGCGGGGCCGCGTCAATGGAGGCGGCGGGGCCGCGTCAGGGGAGGCGGCGGAGTCGCGTCAGGGGAGGCGGCGGGGCCTCGGCAGGGGAGGCGGCGGGGCCGCGTCAGGGGAGGCGGCGGGGCCGCGTCAAGGGAGGCGGCGGGGCCGCGTCAAGGGAGGCGGCAGGGCCGCGTCAGGGGAGGCGGCGGGGCCGCGTCAGGGGAAGCGGCGAGGCCGCGTCAAGGGAGGCGGCGGGGCCGCGTCAAGGGAGGCGGCGGGGCCGCGTTAAAGGAGGCGGCGGGGCCACGTCAGGGGAGGCGGCAAAGCCGCGTCAGAGGAGGCGGCGGGGCCGCGAGTGAAAAGGCGACCCGAGGGGTCGCTAAAAAAAAAGGGCGCGCCTCGGGGCGCGCGTCGGTGGGCCCAGACAACGGTCCTAAGGTAGGACCCGCTCTATACCATGTGAAAGTAGGAAAACAGGAATGAGTGAACTATGAATGAAAGCAGTACAAATATGAAACCCTAACTGGGTTGTACCCCCTATGGGATACCCCACTACAGCCTACACAGCAGTATAAGCTATAGATATGTTCTGACATATATAGCCTCGTGTTGTACCCAGGTGGACATTCAATTCAATTCAATTCGACTCAATTCTCATTCTCTTTTCTGAACTCGATCCTAGATCCTCACAGCAGCCTACCTCCCCTTTGCCTGCTCCTTCTCCCTACAATGGTCCTACTGGAGGTCTTGCTGAGCGTTGTGAGCCTGCGTCTCGCCCTATGTAGCCTGTCCGTCCAGCTCGCGCTAGTGGTCGTGGTTCGCGTCAGCGTCCTCCTCCTGTCCCTGGCACGCACCGGATGTCTCTGCGTTCGTCCACTGCTCCTCTGCGTGCCCCTTTGCCTTCTCCTCCTGAGTCCTCTCTTCCTGCTCTTACCGACCCGGAGTCGGACTCTCTTCGTGCTGCCAGTCCTACTGTCACGCGTCTCCTGGCTACTGTCGTCACTGACCCTTCTTTCGAGTCCACTGCTGCGTCTGCCCTAGCTGCTGAGCTCGTCGACTTTGCTGCTCGCTGTCGTCTAGACTACGCTGCTAGTCTTGTCGCTGAGTCTGAGTCTGTCTGTCCTCCGTCCGTCGGGGGTGAGTGTGCCCTTGGCACGGACGTCCTTGAGGACACGCAGGAGGAGTTCTAGTGTCTGGCTGCTGCTTCACCTCATCTCGTGTCCGTACTGCTTACCCCTGAGGGAGACCCAGATGCACTTAACATCCCGACTCCGCGCTCTTACGCGGAGGCGATAGAGGGTCCCTACTCCTCTCAGTGGCAGGTAGCTATGGACACAGAGATGGCTTCCTGGAAGTCCACAGGCACCTACGTTGACGAGGTTCCCCCGCCTGGGGCGAACATCGTCAGTGGCATGTGGATCTTCAGAGTGAAGCGGCCGCCGGGTTCTCCGCCTGTCTTCAAGGCACGTTACGTGGCTCGTGGCTTCAGTCAGCGGCAGGGAGTTGACTACTTTCAGACCTTCTCTCCCACCCCAAAGATGACCACTCTTCGGGTACTGCTGCACGTTGCTGCTCACCGTGACTACGAGCTGCACTCTCTCGACTTCAGCACAGCTTTCTTGCAGGGCAGCCTGCACGAGGAGATCTGGCTGTGCCGCCCACTTGGCTTCACTGGGTCGTTCCCTCCTGGTACCCAGTGGAGCCTCCGGCGTCCAGTTTACGGTCTCCGCCAGGCGCCACGTGAGTGGCACGACACACTGAGGACTACACTTGCGGCTCTTGGGTTTGCTCCTTCTACTGCCGACCCGTCGCTGTTTCTACACACCGACACCTCTCTGCCGCCGTTCTACATCCTCGTGTACGTCGACGACTTGGTCTTTGCCACAGCTGACACTGCTGGACTCGCCCACGTGAAGTCCGAGCTACAGAAGAGACACACGTGCACAGACCTAGGTGAACTGCGCAGCTACCTTGGCTTGCAGATCACCCGGGACAGAGCACGCCGCACCATTACCCTGACTCAGTCACACATGGTGCAGCAGGTCCTTCAGCGCTTCGGCTTCACGTACTCCTCGCCTCAGGCCACTCCTCTGCCTACTCGCCACTCGCTCTCAGCTCTGCCTTCGGATGAGTCCGTAGAGTCGAGTGGCCCGTATCCAGAGCTTGTTGGCTGCCTCATGTACATGATGACCTGCACACGACCTGACCTTGCATACCCTCTTAGCATTCTCGCACGCTATGTTGCTCCTGGGAGACACCGACCAGAGCACATGGCTGCAGCGAAGAGGGTGTTGCGCTACTTGTGCAGTACGTCGGGCATGGGGCTAGTGCTTGGAGGGCGCAGTCCAGTGGTCCTCACTGGGCACGCAGACGCTTCTTGGGCTGACGACCAGGCTACGTAGCGGTCGTCACAGGGTTACACCTTCAGCCTTGGTTCCGGCTCTATCTCGTGGCGGGCTACCCGCTCGTCTTCTGTTCTCGGCTCCAGTTGTGAGGCTGGGATCTACGTTGGGGCCATGGCTGCACAGGAGCTTCGCTGGCTCACCTACCTGCTGAGTGACCTCGGAGAGCCGCCTCGTTCTCCTCCAGTGCTGTACGTAGACAACAAGGCCATGCTGGCCTTGTGTGGAGAGCAGCGACTGGAGCACAGAACAAAGCACATTGCTCTCCGCTACTTTCTTGCTCGTGAGCTTCAGCAGCATGGACAGTTGCGGCTTGCGTACGTGGCCTCTGAGGCCAACACTGCTGATGTTTTTACCAAGGCACTTCCGCCTTGTGATCATCAGCGCTTCTGCACTCAGTTGGGTCTTGTCCCTGTCTTGCCTCACTTGCTCACCTCTTGACCTTGCTTGTACTGTTACATATATATATACCTGCTATTGCTTGTCTAGCCTTATATATATATGTACTCCTGCATGTGAACTGGCCTTGTGGCCTTGTACTTGTGCTCGGAATGTGTGGTGACTTTGTGATCCACCCTGAGCTTTGCTTTGTTTTGCTTTGCTTGACTGATCTTGTGACCCCCTGTTCTCCCCCACTTTGCCTATGGGGGTGTGTCAGAACATTATAGCTTATGCTTTTGTGTAGGCTGTAGTGGGGTATCCCATAGGGGGTACAACCCAATTAGGGTTAGTACTTGTACCCACTTCATTCATAGTTTATCCATCCTCGTTTCAGTTTTCTCATATGTAAATGCCTGTAGGATTGGTTACTGTGGTTATAGCGTTTTCCTATTTGGTGGTGCACCTTTCTTGTTTGTTCTTTCTTATTTGTACCCTTGAACCTATAGTGAAACCCCTCATTCTCTCGACACTTTTCCTTCAACTCGATCTTCTCCTACCTCTCTAGCCATGGCTCCTGAGCCTCGCTAGTTTCTTAACATTTCACGATGGCAAAGGCACGGGTGGATGGAATGGGCGGATATCGGAGGCGGTATTTGTGTTTATGAGCTGGTTGGTTGGAACAATTTGTGAGGCTCACCTCGATGGTTCTGAGAGTGGAAGATATGGGTAGGGTTGTGACGTGGAACGTCCAGAATTTCTTCTAGCAATGTACACGGTTTGGAGTAGCCCTGATTGGTTTGTGGGTTGCACTTCTCGGTCTGACGTGTAGCTTTGATTGGTTTGCATACGTCACTGTTGATTCCGGCGCGTAGCTTCCGGCTGTACTTCATGGAATCAGCAAAATTATGTTTTTTACGACATTCACGAAATTAGTTGCCCCGTCTATTGTTTTTTGCTGGTGGTCGGGTTGCTTCGCATGCCTCGTGGTCACTACCTAACCAGAGTCTAAACCGTGTTAGAGCTATACGTTATAACCACAAAACTGGCCGCAATTGGAACAGTGGTCGTTTAATGAGTCACCAGTGCTGCGTATCGGAGTCTGAATGTGCTGAATTCGAACGGCGGCATCGGAAAGTTGGTCGTATCGCGCATTTCGTGCGCATGTGTCGCTAGATGTGACACAAATGTGACACAAATGTGACACAAATGTGACACCGCAGAGGAGTCACGGAAATGTTACATTGTGTGCTGTTAGGGCGCTTCACCTGAGGGGCGGAGGCCAAAATCCGAACCGACGTATCAGTTTGACTGCACGAACAGTATCCCAAATGAGTTCGAACACAAATACGTACAATGAGCGAATGTGACACAGGCCATCACAAGTGACACCATCGCTATTCGCACACGCGGTCTGTTCGAACACAGCGACGTCGCCCACAAAAGAGCGACGTCGCCAAACATTGGGTCCCAAACATTGGCGACGTCTGGCCGGGTCGCAAACGTTCATGGGCGACCCGGAAGACTGTGGACCAATCATATCAGTCGTTTGTGCGGAATTGTGTGTCACCTATCCCAACCTGTTCGAACACACGTGTTCGAACGTGCGGGATGATGAAAATCGTGCTTGAGGTGACAGCTCTGTTCAAATTGGCGAAATTGTGCTTCGCGACGTCACGAAAACCAATATGAACATAGGCGAAACGAGTAACATTTCGCCTGTTCGAACGAGTGTGTTGTTCGAACCGACAGGTGAAGCGCCCTTAGGTTTTCGGAGCTCGTTGGGACTTTTTGTGTACCTTTCGGGGGAAAAACCTACAGAGGGCCGAATTTGAGACCCAAACAATTTCGCGATGTCGCCTTCGTTCCCCAGCCCGTCGCCTTCGTTCCCCAGCCCGTCGTCTTCGCTCAGCCCGTCGTCTTCACTCAGCCCGTCGTCTTCACTCATCCCGTCGTCTTCGCCCAGCCCGTCGTCTTCGCCTAGCCCATCGCCTTCTCTCCATCCGCCCGTCGCCTCTGTCAATCAGCCCGTCGCCTTCTGTCCCTCCGCCCGTCGCCTTCTCTCCCTCCGCCCGTCGCCTTCGCTTCCTCCGCGCGTCGCCCTCACTTCCCCCCCCTGTCGCCCTCGCTTCCCCCACCCATCGCCCTCGCTTCCCCCACCCATCGCCCTCGCCTTCCTGGCCTCGCCTTCCTCTACCCCTCTCATCGCCCGTCTGTACCCCCTCCATTCCCCCACGCTTCGCTTCACTCTCACCCACATCCTCGCACAAAGTAAAACCTCCTTCCTCCTTCTCCCTTCCTCGTTCCCCCTTCCTCACTTCCTCCCTTCCATCGTACGGGCTTCCCAGGTAACTCCCTTCGCACCCCTCCATTCCTTCCTCCTTCTCCTCCAGTCCTTTCATCACTTCCGCCCGTCCGTCCCGCTTCTCGTCCACCCTACTCTCCAGCTTTCTTCCCCCCGACTCACTCTCTTCCCACCGCTCACTCTCTCCTTCCCCCACTCACTTTCTGCCCTGCTGCTGACTCTTCTCTCCCCCACTCACTTTCTTCCCCCCCGCTCACCCTCTTTCCCCCCTCTCACTTGCTTCCCCCCTGGTCATTTTCTCCCCTCCTGCGCTCTCTCTCCCCCCCTGCGCACTCTCTCCCCCCCTGCGCACTCTCTCCCCCCCTGCGTACTCTCTCCCCCCCCGCGCACTCTCTCCCCCCCTGCGCACTCTCTCCCCCCCTGCGCACTCTCTTGCCCCATGCGCACTCTCTCCCCCCCCTGCGCACTCTCTCCCCCCCTGCGCACTCTCTCCCCCCTGCGCACTCTCTCCCCCCCTGCGCACTCTCTTCCCCCATGCGCACTCTCTCCCCCCCCTGCGCACTCTCTCCCCACCTGCGCACTCTCTCCCCCCATGCGCACTCTCTCCCCCCCCTGCGCACTCTCTCCCCCCCTGCGCACTCTCTTCCCCCATGCGCACTCTCTCCCCCCCCTGCGCACTCTCTCCCCCCCTGTGCACTCTCTCCCCCCATGCGCACTCTCTCCCCCCCCCCTGCGCACTCTCTCCCCCCCTGCGCACTCTCTCCCCCCCCTGCGCACTCTCTCCCCCCCTGCGCACTCTCTCCCCTCCTGCGCACTCTCTCCCCCCCTGCGCACTCTCTCCCCCCCTGCGCACTCTCTCCCCCCCTGTGCACTCTCTCCCCCCATGCGCACTCTCTCCCCCCCCTGTGCACTCTCTCCCCCCCTGCGCACTCTCTCCCCCCATGCGCACTCTCTCCCCCCCCCCTGCCGCACTCTCTTCCCCCCTGCTCACTCTCTCCCCCCCTGGTCACTTTCTCCCCGCCTGGGCTCACCCCTCTTTCCCCTCTGTTTACGCTCTATTCCCCTTCGTTCAACTCCTCCTATACATGCCCTTCTGTACCTCCTGCTTATTTGCCACACCCCTTCCTTCCCCATTCCTTCACACAACCATGCTTGTACAGGTGCCCAGCACCAAGGGTTGCAGGTTTATTGCATGCATTGCAGCAGACAGTTGCTGGTTTTGTGCATTGTGCCTATAATATACCCTTGACCACTTTCACAGAAAGATACAGTCTCGCTTTATTGTACTTCTTTGTAGTGGTCATGTGTACTTCAATGCTGAGAGGTTTGTATTATAAGAAGCATCCAACATCAGTACATGGCATGGCTATTTGACTTACTAGCATCAAACAGCAAATGCATCACACTGAACTGAATGCATAGCAGACCTATACAAACAGGGAGGGAGGGAACAAACCCTGCACAGAGTAAGGGAAGAAAGGAAGGGAGTATCAGGAGAGGACAGCGTTGGGTGGAAAGGAGGAAGGGAGTGTTGGGAATATAAACGCATGACTTAGTGCGTTTCTGTAGTATCGAACCTCACCCGATACTGAAGCACAACAAAAGGAGTATGAAGTCGAAAAAGGCGCGTACCACATCAAACCGCAACTGGAAGTTGCGAGCCGTAACCGCCTGGAGATTACGCAACAGCAGGCGACGCTTCAGTGAACAGTAACCGCCTCGATAGTCGAAGCGTTACGCGTCTCGATAAACATAACCGCTTCCTGTAATCTAACTTTTCTATATATTCCTGTATGCTCTTTGCTTCAATCAGGCCCTCAGATGTCAGCGTAAAACACGCTGATTACGCTGATTTTGTAGCTCTGAATTTCGTTTTCCCTGGAAAATCAGTAAATGCTTCCATTTTGGGCTGAAATTTCAGTAAATGTGAGTTTGTCAGAATGAGAAACGAGAATGATGTGACTAACAGGAACAAGAGTACAAATATGAAACCCTAATCTGGTGTACCCCCTAAGGTGTGACCCACTACAGCCTAGAACCACATAAACATATAATGTTTGACACACCCCCATAGGCAAAGTGGGGCAGACCTAGGGGTCACAAGACCAGTCAAGGTAAAACAAGGCAAACAAGCTCAGGGTGGATCTCGAGGATTCCACACAAATTCCGAGCACAAGCAAGCGGTCACAAGACCAGTTCACATGCAGATTTATAATAGAGCAAGAAGTACAATGATCACAACCTAGCAAGAGTAAACATGCAAGTATATATATATATATATATATATATATATAATGATCACAGTACAGACAAAGTCAAGAAGTAAGCAAGTGAGGTCCAGTCGGCACAAGGCCTAGAAGAGTGCAAAAACGCTGATGGTCAACAGGCGGAAGCGCCTTGGTGAACACATCAGCAGTGTTGGCCTAAGTGGCCACGTAACGCAGACGAAGCTGACCACGCTGCTGTAGCTCTCGAGCTAGAAAGTAACGCAGAGCAATGTGCTTCGTCCTGTGCTCTAGTCTGTGCTCGTCACACAAGGCAATGGTTGCCTTGTTGTCGACGTACAGCACTGGAGGAGAACGAGGCTGCTCTCCAAGGTCCGTCAGCAGGTAGGTGAGCCAGCGAAGCTCCTGGGCAGCCATGGCCGTGGCGTAGATCTCAGCCTCACAGCTGGAGCTGAGAACAGAAGAAGAGCAAGTAGAACGCCAAGAGACAGAGCCAGAGCCAAGGCTGAAGGTGTAACCCTGAGACGACCGCTGAGTAGCCTGGTTGTCTGCCCAAGAAGCGTCTGAGTGCCCAGTGAGAACAGGCCGGTCTCGCCCTCCAAGCACTAGCCCCATGCCCGACGTACTGCACAAGTAGCGCAACACCCTCTTAGCTGCATCCATGTGCTCCTTCCGGTGACGGCCGGGAGCGACATAGCGCGCTAAGATGCTGAGAGGGTATGCAAGGTCAGGTCGCGTGCAGGTCATCAGGTACATGAGGCAGCCCACAAGCTCTGGATACGGACCACTCGGCTCTACGGACTCATCCGAAGGCAGAGCTGAGAGCGAGTGTCCTGTAGGCAGAGGAGTGGATTGAGGCGAGGAGTACGTGAAGCCGAAGCGCTGAAGGACCTACTGCACCATGTGTGACTAAGTCAGGGTAATGGTGCGCCGTGCTCTGTCCCGGGTGATCCGCAAGCCAAGATAGCTTGTCAGTTCACCCAGGTCTGTGCACGTGTGTCTCTTCTGCAGCTCGGACTTCACGTGAGCGAGACCAGCTGTGTTAGGAGTGGCAAAGACCAAGTCGTCGACGTACACGAGGATGTAGAACGGCGGCAGTGAGGTGTCGGTGCGTAGAAACAGCGACGGGTCAGCAGTAGAAGGAGCGAACCCAAGAGCCGCAAGAGTAGTCCTCAGTGTGTCGTGCCACTCACGTGGCGCCTGGCGGAGACCGTAGACTGGCCGCCGGAGGCTCCACTGGGTACCAGGAGGAAACGACCCAGTGAAGCCAGGTGGGCGGCGCAGCCAGATCTCCTCGTGCAGGCTGCCCTGCAAGAAAGCTGTGCTGAAGTCAAGCGAGTGGAGCTCGTAGTCACGCTGAGCAGCGACGTGCAGCAGAACCCGAAGAGTGGTCATCTTCGGGGTCGGGGAGAAGGTCTGCAAGAAGTCAACTCCCTGCCGCTGACTGAAGCCTCGCGCAACGTAACGCGCCTTGAAAACAGGCGGAGAGCCCGGTGGCCGCTTCACCCTGAAAATCCACATGCCACTGACAATGTTCGCCCCAGGTGGGGGAACCTCGTCGACGTAGGTGCCTGTGGACTTCCAGGAAGCCATCTCTGTGTCCATGGTTGTCTGCCACTGAGAGGAGTGGGGACCGGCCATCGCCTCTACGTAAGAGCGTGGGGTCAGGATGTCTGGTGCATCCGGGTCTCCCTCAGGGGCAACAAGCATGGACACGAGATGGGGCAAAGCAGCAGCAAGGCAACCAAACTCCTCCTGCCTGTCCTCAAGGACGTCAGTGCCAAGGGCACAGTCACCCTTGACGGACGGAGGACAGACAGACTCAGACTCAGCAACAAGACTGGCAGCGTAGTCTAAACGACACGCAGGTGCAAAGTCGACCAGCTCAGCAACTAAGGCAGACGCAGCAGTGGACTCAAAGGAAGGGTCCGTGACAACCGTAGCTAGGAGACGTGTGACAGTAGGACTGGCAGCGCGAAGGGAGTCGGACGCCGGATCAGCAAGAGCAGGAAGAGAGGACGCAGGAGGCGACGGGAGAGAGACACGCTGTGGAGCAGTGGACTGACGAAGTGCCATCTGGTGAGTGCCTGGGACAGCAGGAGGACGCTGACGCTGGACACTACGACCAGAGGTAGCAGTACGAAGAGGCGACGCTCGACGAGACGCAGGCGACACAGGACGTGACGCAGGCTCAAGACGCTCAGCAAGACCTCCAGTCGGACCAGTGTAAGGAGCAGGCACAGGGAGAGGGGAGGCAGGCGGTGACTGTGGCTGTGACCAGACAGACGGCGGACACTCTAAGGCGGGAGGAGGAGGCTGACCAAGAACCTGATGAAGGAGTGGAACGAAGTACGGCCGAGGCCGTGCAGCAACTCCCGAACCAGCAGCGTCACCAGCGGCAGGGTCCTCAGCACCAGCAGCAGCACCTCGAGCAGCACCTCCAGCAGCACCAGCAGTACCGCCAGCAGCAGCAGCACCTCCAGGACCAGGGTCAGCAGCACCCGCAGCAGCTCCAACGCCCGGGTCCTCAGCACCAGCCTCACCTCCAGCAGCACCAGCAGCACCGCCAGCAGTAACAGCACCTCCAGCTCCAGGGTCCGCAGTACCAGTAGTAGTGTCAACCCCGGGGACCCCAGCACCAGCAGTCCTACTACGAAGACTGATGTGCCGAGCGTACCACTCCCGGAGCTGTGGGGAAGAGGGCGGCTCCCGCCGCAGCGGGGAAACACGAGCACCAACTCCAGCAGCACCGCGAGCCCGAGACGCACCCCGCCGAAGGCTGCAGTACCGCGAGTACCACTCACGCAGCTGCTGCGAAGAGGGAGCTCCTCCAGGCGTCTCATAGTCAGCTGCAGTACCCCCAGACTCAGCAACTCCAGGCTCAGCACCCCTAGACTCAGTGACCCCAGGCTCAGCACCCCCAGACTCGGCAACCCCAGGCTCAGCACCCCCAGACTCAGCACCCCCACGCTCAGTACCCCGAGACTCAGCACCCCCAGGCTCCGCACGCTCAGGCTCCGCACGCTCAGGCTCAGAACCCCTAGCCGGACGCGAGTCGACAGCTACCTCGGGAGGCTCAACCGGGTCTACCTGGGAGACACCTGAAGGAGCGGCACCCTGAGGGAGGAGGGGGTCTACCACTGCAGCACCTGGCGCGAGGAAGAGAGGCGGGGGAGGGAGCGGGGCAGTGCGGTAGGGGAAGAGGCGGTAGAAGGGCACGGACTCGTCAAAAGTGACGTCCTGAGAGGGGAAGACGCGGTGCGGGGCGGGGTGGTAAAACTGCCAGCCAGACGCATCCGGGACAAAGCCAAGAAAGACACACGGAGCAGTGCGGGAGGAGAGCTTGTCCGTAGACGTGTCGCGAACAAAAGCTCGGGATCCCCAGACACGGAAGCTTGACGCATCGCCAACCTCCCCCGTCCACAGCAGTGTGGGCGAGGTCTCCGGAGCGGAGACACGGGGCCAGAGGTTGAGCTGATGCGCAGCGTACCGGACTGCAAACGGCCACAGAAAGTGGGGGCAAGCCGCGTGGACTAAGGAGGTACGAGCGACCTCCATGACCAAGCCAATGCGGCGCTCAGCAACCCCATTCTGCTGTGGAGAGGCCGGAAGCGTGAACGACTGGCAAATGCCGTGCTCGGCACAGTAGGCTGCCAAGAGGTCGGAGGAGAACTCACCACCTTTGTCAGAGTGCAAGCGCAGGACAGGAAACTCCGAGCGAAAACGCTCTCGCAGCTGAAGACGTGCTCTTCTGATCCAAGGGATCAGAACATCAGGGACTTCACCCTTGGTGCGCAAGGGGAAGACCGTGGTGTAGCGCGAGTAGTCGTCAACGACGATCAAGAAGTACCTCTCCTGGCCCTGACCACGGACGCGGGCTGGGCCCCACACGTCCATGTGGAGCGTCTGCAAAGGAGCAGTCGTCGGGGGGAACGAGGAGGAGTGAGGGGCAGCGCGCTGCCGCCCCTCGACACAAGGAAGACAAGGAGGAGCAAGGGAGGGTGGGAGGGGAGGGAGTACCCGA